AGTGCAGGATCAGCTTGTTTATATTCCTCAAGATTTCTCCTGGTTAAGTGAAATCTTGTTCAGATGGAAAATCAGTTTGATACTGCTTCAAGGAAATATGTTTTATGCCTCCCTCATAAAGAAAGAACTGTAATAATACTCTGTTCCAGGACATGCAAGAATTCATAAATCTTGTGCAACCATGATCGACTTTATGATTCAGTGTCTGACTCTTTTCTACACTGTTAATGCTCCATATACAAACAAAGCTGATCCATGCCCAGCTATTCTGTTTCTGTCTTTTATACTGTCAAGTCCTGTAAATTTTCTCTCTATGAACAGTATTTGATAGTGGATTGTTTCAGTTGTCGCTTTTAGATGTTCTTGTAGCTGGCCAATGACACACCTGTCATAGTGGACATTTTTAATAAATTTCCCACATATGGATAACTCTGGAGATGGACAGAAGGCAGGGCAGGGCAGCACCTTTTCTTAACTCATTCAGAAAGGCATGAATCTCCATAGCCTACAGACTACTTTGGTATATAACAAATTAGTCTGTAGCCTATGAAAGTTTATGTTTCTGAATGAGTTAGTCTATAAGGTGCCACCCTGAGCTTGCCTTCTACCTAACTTCAGACTAACATGGCTTACTACCTTTGAAGGTAAATTCATCAAGTCCTTGACAAATCCTGACATATTGTAAATCCATTATAATATTTTCTTAGGACATTTCCTTACGAACTGATATCATACAGAAGCAGCTTCAATTCATCTTTGATCCAAAACATACCAAAGATGAGTAGGTAATCATGGCACAAAAATAACTCAAATGCAAAGAACTGAATGTATCAAGAGAGCTACAAAGACCCACATTAATATGAGCAGTGCAGTGATATATTGGTCCATGGGATCAGCACCGGTGAAAGGAAAATTGACATTATCGGCAATTGGTGATTTTTGGCTGGTGTAGCTGATAATGTCACTGATAAATGCCACGTTGCATGTGCACAGCTGCAGCATTCATGTGGCCAGGAATACAGCCCGGCAGCTTGCAGGACAACATATAGCTGGTAAGTCTGTGGCGGGGGGAAGGGGCATGAGGGAGGGAAGGGGTGTGGGTGAACAGATCGAGGTCCCCACGGTGAGAGGGAATGGGGCTGGGGCAGAAGCAGGGGCTGCCCAGCTGGGGCAGAGCGCAGGACTGAGCCATGAGTGGTTGTCTGGGAGATACGAGGGGAATGAGGAGGGAGGTGGCTTCCAACAGCTGTGTGCATACCTGAGGGAGGGAATGGGAGGCATGTGCCCCCCGGATTTGTGTGTGGGGTGAGGGCAGGCTGCCCGCTGTAGGCTTAGGGCTGGGGGCTGCACTGGCCTCTTCCCAGTGGCGGGGCTAAACCAAAGCTGTGCTCGGGGTGGGTGGGGGCAGGGTGGGTAGCAGCAGTGCTGAGAGAGGGGCTACAGGACAGGCTACAGCCACCCGCAGGCAGCTCACCTTTCCCCCATGCACAAATCCAGGAGACACAGGCCCCCTGTGCTTTCCTCAGGGGTGCGCACAGTGGGGGGAGTCGCTCACCTCCCAGACGAGCCAGTCACACCTCCCAGACGAGCCACCTGCAGCTCTGTCCCATGCCCCACCCAGCCCTGGCTGGGTAGTGCCTGCCCCATTCCTTCCCTCACCACAGGGGCCTCAATCTGCACCCCTATTCCTCTTCCCCCCAGCATGCCCCTTCCCCACCACAGACTTACCAGCCAGATGCTACTCTCCAAGCTGCCGGTTTGCATATTGGCTATTGGATCGATATCAGCCGATATGGTATTGGCCAAAAACAATCTTTAATTGGTTCACCCCTAATTAATAGGGCACCAGAACTGGGCAAATCCATGGATGCACTATAGATTTTATGAAGGGACATAATGATGCTTTCTGTTTGGTTTACAATTCCCTTCTTAATAAACCCTGGCTGAAGTTTACCTCCATCTTGGATCACTCCTACCAAGTGATTTCACTGTCCTGTTAAACTGTGCTGCATACAGAACAAAGTCTCTCACATGTTGTATACTACGAGTTTTCATTCCCTCTCTGAAGTAGGCTAGGAACAAACTGTACTTTGATTCCATCAGAGTACAACCTGAATCAGTCTCCTCCCCCATTTTTTTGTATCTATCTTGTATCATACACCATCAACTATCATTCGATGATTCTGCCTGTCTTTTTATTGGTCTGGCAGTTTCTAAAATTTCTCAATTACATGAGATTCTGCTTATGCCCTTCCATATTTTAACATATCAAAAAGGGCTAGCAATCTTTCTGGGAAAGGGAGCATACAGGTATTCAGCCTGCAGCTGCCCCATCTACTCTACTCTCTGCACCTCCCCAAGACTGGGGAAAGTTGCTGATCCCCCACTGGTCAGCAGGAGCAGAGTGGTTGAAGCAGCAGGGCAAAGTCCCCTGCATCTTCCCCAGACTGGGCAGTGACTCATTTGGGGAAATGACTTTGGTGTCTGGTTCAGTCCCCTCCTGGACTGGTCCAGGGGCGGGGGGGAGGAGGCGTGGAGCAGTGGGACAAGGGCCCCTGCCCTTACCCAGATATCAACCTGGAAGATCTTTCTCCTGGAGGGGACATATATTCTCTGGGAGAAATTGTATGAACACTTGTATGCTCCTGGTTTCTGCTAGAAAAACAGTGATTCTTTTGTTAGAAATGAAGCTTGTATTTGAATACGACACACAGGTTTTTTCTTTTTTCTTCTGATCCAGTGTTGATCCATTCACACCTCTACAACTATTAAACTGAAGCACAGGATGAGATATTTTCTTGAACCAACTTTTAAAGGTTTAATTGCTTTATTCCATTAACAGTGAATATAAATCAGAATGTCAAACTAGGAAGCTTCATATCAGGCATTGATAACAAACAGCTTTGAAAAATCAGGTTAGATTTATACATATCAAAGTGATTTAAATTAACAATTTTAATAACAATTTAAGCAATCAAACAGGAAATCATTATTTAAATAACTGATTTTATTTTGTGTCTGTAATTTTAGTTGTTTGTCTAAAAAGAAGATTGATTCACAGTGATTAGTAACCATTAAAATGTGCTGATTTGCAGCTAACAAAGTCTTTATACTGGATTTGGTTCATATGTTTGCTAACCAGGATGATGCCCTATACCTACACACATTTATTTCAGCAATTAAATTACCCTGTGGTGCTCAAACTTCTGCACCCAATGGGCCAGGTTCTATGGGCTGGGTCAGTAGTGGGGTTGGTCCATGGGTGCAATCTGCTGCACCAGATCTGGCCACAGAGTAACCTCATGTGCTGGCTGAAGCCTGTGTACCAGATTTGGCTGCAGAGAAACCCTGCATGTTGGCAATTAATGTTGCCACTGTTTCCCTGTGACATAGCCCTGCAGGCCAGATTTGGTCTGCAAGTTAGATCCTGAGCACCACTGATTTAGCCAAATATACATTTATTCAGATACCTAATTTTTTTACATACTTAAGTTAGTATACATCAAATGACATTTCTTACTCACTGGAAAATGATTTTTTTTTCCTTTTTTTTTTTTGCTTTTAAAGCTGAATTTTGAAGGAAAATGGATTTTCATTTTAAGTGCATAATAATTATAATTATTACTACTGTCACTCAGTGGCAACAATCTGACTTGCACCATGGCCAAAAGGGACCTGGGGTAGTGATCAACCGTCAGATAAACATGAGCCGGCAGTGCAATGCTGTGGCCAGCAAGGCAAACAAAACGCATTAACCATTGCATCTCATGCAAAACTAAGGAAATGATACTCCCACTGTACTCTGCACTGGTGAGACAACAGCTGTACTACTGTGTTCAGTTCTGGGCGCCGCACTTCAACAAGGATGTGGAAAAACTTCAGAGGGTTCAGAGAAGAGCCACCCGTATGATCAGGGACTTGCAAGACAAGCCATACAAGGAGAGGCTGAGGCACTTGGGCCTCTTCAGCCTACAGAAGAGAAGGCTGAGAGGGGACTTGGTAGTAGCTTACCACTACATCAGAAGAGTACATCAAGTACTCGGTGAACAGCTGTTCACCAGGGCACCTCTGGGGAAGACCAGGAGCAATGGATACAAACTCCTGAAAGCTCACTTCAGGAAATACCAGGAAAAACTCCTTCACAGTCAGGGTGTCCGGACTGTGAAATAAACTCCCTCCAATGGTGGTGCAGTCACCTACCCTGGAAATCTTCAAAAGGAGACTGGACAGTCACCTTGCTGGGGTCACTTGACCCCAATTGTCTTTATCTGCCTACTGCAGGGGACTGGACCCGATGATCTACAAGGTCCCTTCCAGCCCCTAACAATTTATGAATCTATGATTAGCAACAATAATAAATATATGTTAAATATCTGTTAAATGTGCTGAATGCATAAGGAAAAATAAAAAGCCTAATATGTTTTTCATTTAAGGCTTCTTTTCTGTAATTAATGAACAGATTTTTGCTGTTTCAAGAGTTTAGAAACAAGAATTACCCTCTCACACCTAATCTTTATTCCATAGTTGAAAGGTTACTAGATTTTTTTACTTTTTCTTCCCCTAATTCTTCTCTCACCTTTGCATATATAAAACACTGAACAGAATAAGCTGAATTATCTCAAATGAAAAAAAAATTTCTGCAACTGCAGATCAGGATACTGCTGAAATGCTATATTAGTACAATAACAGCCTCAGGTTCCAAAGCAACTTCAGCAAATTCAGTGGTTTAATGTTTTTAAAAAGACCTGAGTACCATCTATGAACCATGCATTTTTAATTCAATATAAATGATTTTTAATAAATCATGGTGAGTTGCCATAATATAGGTTATATAAATCAACAAATAATTTTAAATAGCTTTAATTTGAACAAGAAAAACATATTTAAATAAAAATACCAAAAAAACCCCAAAACACAGGTTAATATCTATCTTGTGCATAACACCAGGTTCTTAGTGGTGATTAAACTCTAATTTTAGCTATATGAGATTTATAACTTACTTTCAACAAAGGACTGAAGAGAACTCCGAGTCTCTGTAAGGGTCCGTGCGGAATGAGGGGCTGATTTATTTTTTTCTTTTTCACCATCTTTACTTTTCTTTTTTACAATATCTTTTATTTCTGACTTTTCTATCAAAATAAAATAAAGATTACATATTTTCTTTCTATGAACTAGCTTTTAGTCATGCATCCTCACTCTATACGTTTTACTTATTTGCAGTATTTAAAATAATAGGACTTCAAGTAGTTTTTATTTTTTTTAAATAAATGAAGAGACAAATAAATCTTGCTCCAGTTTGAAAAGTGGAAGTAAAGATGAAAGATATAGTAAAAAGGAAATCTATGCTTTCACAACATAAAAAAGATTTTGTTGCTATTTTTACAATGAGAGAAATCTATATAAAATTAGTTAAGATGAGGAACTGGAGTTATCTCTATGGAGCCAATAAAGGCAAAGATGGGAAACAGACCACTTTCATTGTGGTACTTCCAAGTTTTTGAGTGCTTGTCTTTGCAGCCTTAATAGTGTTATTTTAATTGGTTGTGTGAGTTTGTGTCTATATGTATGGGACTTGTTATACCTTACACTGAGCCGCACAAAGGTTGATTGGTCTTAGCGCTAGCTCAAGTTTGGACCAGTCACACGTTCAGGCCAAAAGGAGCCTGGAGGACTGAAAGGTAAGACTTCCCACCCACTCCAGGCTTTCCCCCTGCCCACTGTCCCCAGAATACTCCCATTATCCCCTGCTGCCCCTGGGACTCCCCCCTGTCCCCATGTACTTGTGGCTGCCCATACTGTCTGTCCCAGGGGACCAGGCAGGGAAGGGTTAGCCTACCTCCCGGGCTCCCACTGTCACTAGGCTGCTGCTCATCTCCAGGCTAAGCATGGCCCAGAGATAAGCAGCAGCGGCAGTGGCCAGGTAGACATGTTAACCTTTCCCTGCCTGCTCTCCCATGGTAGACAGCATGGGAAGCCACAAATAAGCATGGGAGTGGGGGGAGGAGGAGGGGAAAGGGGGAATTACTGAGGCAGCAGTGAGCAGGCATCTGGGGTGATGGAGAAGGTGGTAGAGAAGTGGGGTTGATCCAAGCCAACAAGAGGAGGTGGGATAGGTGAAGTGTTTACACTAAGATGTAGCCGAGAAGTACTACACCTTAGTATAACATGAGCTGGGTAGCATGGATTAGGGATAATCCTGCGCTGGAGTGGCATAACTGAGCTGCATAATTACTGTGTAAGAAGGCCCTATAATTTCCTAGGCTCCTTTAAAAAAAAAACAGACTAGAAAAAAATACTGTCAGGTAGCAGTGATGGAAGCTCAGGCTCCCTTCCCCACCTTCTGTTTCAGTTCTCCCCACATCCTACTGCTAATTCCCAGCCAAAGTTCCCAGCCCCAGTGTCCCACCCCAGCCTCAAGTCCCAACCCAACTAGGCTTCCAGTCTCCCCCAATCTACTGAACTAAACCTCAGCCCTTCTGCTCTGGTCTAATTTATAACCTATTTGCATTTAGATCAGGCGACTTCTCCCTCTAATATACCTCACCCCACCATGAGGGTGACTGAGACATTGGCTCTTTTGAGTTTAGGTGCTTTGGACCCAGAACTGGCACAGCTCCCTTTTTTCTTTCCTTTTCTTAATCAAAGGTGCCAGGACTGTCACTGCATAGAAATTCCTCCTTAGTCTTAGATTAGACTATATCCAGCATAAACAGAATTTTCAGGCAATACAGTAGGTAAAAATCTCAGAAGTCTTCACCGTGCAAATGCAAACTACCATTTCTCAGTTTTTTTAAGTGAGAAAGTTTGGATGCATTTTCAAGGTGACAGTGAAAATCAAGTTCCCGACCAAATAGATAACAGGGTAAGCCCCTATTCCAAAGTATGGGGGTGCCAGTACTTTCAAAGTAAGTCACATTAAGTGTGTTAATATAAGAAAATTATATGTTTTCTCTTCTTGTTCTCTGACTGAACTATTTTTGTTGAAAATTATCAAAAATGTTCAACTGTAGGAAGATATCTGGTATAGATATTTTTACTCTAATTGATTAAAACTTAGCAGAGTTATAAGCATTTGAAAAAAAGGTCTTGTAACACTGGGCAGCCTCGAAAGGACATGGTGTTATCAGCTTTGCCTGTAACAACAAAACAAAAAGGGATCGTAATCTCAATTCCTACTTCTGTTATTGATCTACAAAGTTGTGACTACAGAAAAATATCCATTTTAAGTATCAAAAATCTAAAAACTAACCCCTTGCTTAAAGTGGTGAGATTCTAATCTTCACACCATCATAAGATATAAAATAAAAAATCTTGCTGTTCTTCTTTTTTTCTTTAAAAGAAACAAGACTGTTTGAACAACTTCAGAGGAATATTAAATTTAGTTTTCAGAGCAATCTGTAAGTAATCATTTCTTTGTAACACTTGTAATGAAATACATATTCCTACTAAGTTCGTTTTGGTCAGAATTATATTATCATAGGAAAAACTGCAACTGATACACTTGTTATCTTTCTACAAAGAACAACCTTTAAGAAAAACGCCCATGCAGCAAAATGGAACACAGCATTCTTCCATAAAATGAATTAAAGAAAAATTTCCTAAAATTAGTGCTGAGCCCTACTTCCACTGAGATCAGGAATTAAAACCACACTTTCCCCAGTTTATAAAGGTATGACAGAACGTCATATAGTGACTTCAGTGGAAGCGAACTTGGGTCCACAGTAGTACGCAGTGCAATAAAGAGTGATAAATCTGAACACTGATCATTATTTCATCTTTGTCTGTCTTCAGATTTTACAGTGTCTACAGTTTCCTACCTTTGCCAATTTTCTCCACTTTTTCAGGCTTCTCCAACTGCTTACTGGAAGTGGAAGTTTCATTTTTTACCTCAGGACCTTTGGTCTCTTTAGCTTTTGTATCTGACAAAGGAGTTTTGAATTCAGGGATGGTCTCATTTGGTAGCTTAAATTCTGGTACTACATCTTTTAAAAAGATCCAAACCTTATCCAAATATCCAGACCTTGAACAAAAAACAGATGCACGTTTCAATGTCACTTATTTTTAACAGAATTCAATTCTTGATTTTTATTCAGTGATTATAATGGTCCAACTGAATCAAAGTCTTTAGAAATATTAATGTATTATAAAAGCTTACACTTTTTAATGTTTTGTATGACATTATTAGAAACAACTAACAAGAGTTAGCAAAAGTAGGCAAAACTGGGCATTTTAGTTATCAGCAATGCTGGCAGTGGTATATTTAAGAAACAATATCGTGATAATACTGGTACTTTAATAGGGTACCAGTACTTAAATGGTACGTTATCAAGAATTAATGAGGAAGAACCTTGGATAGTTCATTTTGCAATAGCAAAATATTAATGTGTAGTTTTAAACTAGAATATATAATACAATAGCTTTAAAACTACATAAAACTCCCCTCCAGAAGTAGTTCCAGAATCCTGATAACTTAACAGCTGCAACAGCCTCCCCAGAGATTCCAATATGGACCAACACCTCCTCAATATAGTGGTAGCTCTTGTGTTGGTTCTCTAGAGAGTAGGGCTGTGCAAAACAGCACCTGTCTGCTTCAGCTTCCATTCAAACATTTCAATGGAACAGTGTTTCATTTTGAGTTTTATTTTGTTTTGAAAGCACTGTTCCATTTCATTTTGTCGAAAACTGTTTCGCTGTTTCAGCATTTTGCCCATAGGCTATAATGGGGAAGCATGAAACTGTCTATAACATTGTCACTTCTAGCCTGATTTGGACAAAACTTGTAGGAATGGTAGGCCCTTCTGAGGGCATGAAGCACGCCAAGTTTCAAGGAGATAGGTGCAGAGGTTTCTGGGAAACTGCACCTCAAGGTGCTGACAAGCAAAACTGTAACTTGCCGGCAGCAGCAGCCTCCTGTCATCCAGCAGGCAGATCTGGGGGCCCACACCCCGGGGGAGGGATGTGGGGCTGCACCTGACTCTTCCTGGGGGTGTGGCACCCAATCTGCCTGCCGTATGACAGGAGGCTGCTGCTGCTGCCTGGGACCGGCAGTGGGCACAGCCTTCACCCAACACTGGGAAGATTGGTGCTGCCGCCAGTCCCAAGCAGCAGGAGCAGCCTCCTGTGATCCAGCCGGCAGATTGGGGGTCCACACCCCCAGAAGGAGCCCAGCACAGCCCTCACAGCCCTCCCAGGGGTGCGGCCAGGCTCCTGATCTGCCTGCCAGATGACATGAGGCTGCTGCTGTCAGCTGGGGCCTGCGGACTCCTGTATTCCAGCAGGCAGATCAGGGATCTGCACCCCCAGGAGGGCTGTGGGACCCCCAATCTGCCTGCTGGATCACAAGAGGCTGCTGCTGCCGGCTGGGACCAATGCTGGGCACAGCTTGCATCCAGCGCCGGAAAAATTGGAGCTGCCACTGGCCCCAGCTGGCAGCAACAGTATGCTGTCATCTGGCGCACAGATCTGGGGGCTGGTGCCCCATGGAAGGGCCGAGGGTTGTGCCAGAATCTTCCCAGAGGGCACGGTCGGCATATCTCCGCTGGATGACAGGAGGCTACTGCTGCCATCTGGGACCAGCGCTGAAGCCAAGCCCAACTTCGAAACTCAAAACATTTCGAGTGCCCTTGTTTCATTTCATATCTATTTCGAAGGCTGTTGTTTTGTTTCAATTTCACTGTTTCAAGCTTGAAACGCATCAAGACAGCTTCAAAATGAAACACCCGGCAAAATTTTGCACAACCCTACTACAGGGGCATCTTGAGCTCGGAAACAGAACAGAAACTGATCAAAGGACATAGAGAAAACATAACTGAAAAGACAACATGGAAACAGCTGAAAAATCTGGGGATATGAGTTGAAGAGTTGGTTTGACAATAAGCTATATCTAACTCCATACTGTTACTACCAACATTTTCTTATACTCACACTTTTTGATTTGGTAAAAATAAATGGGATAGATTTGCAAACAGTACCTTTTATTGCTGCACTGGGAGGTGGAGTACAAGAGACAAAATTAGGTAAGCCTGATGTCTACAGACATTATGATATGTAAGTGATCTAAACTGTGAGCACAAGTGAGTGTGGGCACAAAAAAATGATGGTTGTAGAAGTGAGCTCAATAAGCTCCCATTCATAAGGTAAACAGATACACAAACAAGTCTTATAAGTGAAGGTCAGGATTACTATTTGGTTGGAAATAAAAGTACATGAGTTGCACCACCCTGAAAATGTGAAAACAGTACGAAAAAATATCAGTTGAACTAAACTTTCTCACTCCCAATTACACATAGGACTTAATGCATTTTCTGGATGAATTCATATAGAAATTACACATATTAAAATAAACTAGAAATAAAGGGGTGTTTCAGAAACTAATGGCAAAATGGCTGCCCATGCTGTATGTCTGCAGCAAGTGGGAAACTACATAACAGCTTGGAACACCAATGGCATTGTTAAATGTACCCATCATTTACAACTATATACAGAAGTAATGTGGCCCAGTAAATAATCATTGCATACCAAATAGTTTTAGTTCAAAATTGTCATTAGTTTCTGAAACCGCCTTGTATCTAATCAATGGAATTGTTTTGATTATTGAGTTCAATGACAATTACTGGTGTAATTACTTGGGAGGAAAAAAAATCAGTAGCTTCCTCTCTGGTAGCAGATTCACAAGCAGCTAGGCCTTACAGATAAAAACAGAATAAAATTCTTAAAAAACTGCAAGTTTCTGACCACTTTTAATGTACAGCTCCCAAATACTGAAGTTAAATATGTGACCTTTCACTAAATTGATTTTGATTGATTTTAATATCCGAAACTCAGAGTAATATCTTTCTGCAAGATCCACTGGGCAATCTGGTGGTTGCGCCAGAGGAGAAGACAGACCTCTTTAACAAATTCTTCACCTCCGTTTTCTTGTGCAGGGACTGGGACTCCCCCACTGTGATTCAAGACGGACTTGAGGAGAACGCCTCCAGATCTAAGGTTGAGGAGGACCGAGTTAGAGTGCTTCTGGAGGGGCTGGATGTGTTCAAATCAGCAGGTCCAGATGCTCTCCACCCCAGGGTGTTGAGGGAGCTAGCAGGGGTTATTGCAGGGCCCTTGGCACGGCTTTACAAGCGCTCATGGTGTTCGGGCCAGGTTCCAGATGATTGGAAGATAGCCAATGTGGTGCCCATCTTTAAAAAAGGGAGGAGGGAGGACCCAGGCAACTATAGGCCTGTCAGTCTTACCTCAATCCTGGGGAAACTCTTTGAGAAGATCATCAAGGAGCACATCTGTGATGGGCCGGCATTGGGGATGATGCTCAAGGGAAACTAGCACGGTTTCATTAGGGGCAGGTCATGTCAGACCAACCTGACTGCCTTTTACGATCAGGTCACAAAAGCATTGGATGCAGGTGTCGCCGTGGATGTAGTCTTTCTGGACTTCAGCAAGGCCGTTGACACTGTTGACCACCCCATCCTCATTAAAAAACTGGGCGACTGTGGCATCGATGCCTACACAGTCAGATGGATTGCAAATTGGCTGAAGGGTCGTACTCAGAGGGTGGTGGTGGACGGGTCATATTTGACCTGGGGGGAAGTGGGCAGCAGAGTCCCCCAGGGCTCGGTCCTTGGGCCCGCACTGTTCAATTTCTTTATCAGCGATTTGGCCAACGGGGTGAAAAGCAACCTGTTCAAATTTGCTGATGATATCAAAATTTGGAGTGAGGTCGGCATGCTAGTAGGGAGGGAAAGACTGCAGAAAGACCTGGATAGGTTGCAGGGGTGGGCTAACAAAAACAGGATGCATTTCAATACGGACAAGTGCAGGGTGCTGCACTTGGGCAGTAGTAACCGGCAACACACTTATAAGATGGGAGAGTCCCTTCTTGAGAGCACAGAGGCAGGAAGGGATCTTGGAGTCATCATTGACTCCAAGATGAGCATGGGCTGACAATGCGAGGTCACGGTTGGCAGGGCTAACCGGACCCTATCGTGCATCCACAGGTGCATCTCAAGTAGGGCCAAGGAGGTGATCCTCCCCCTCTATGCGATACTGGTCAGGCCACAGCTGGAGTACTGTGTCCAGTTCTGGGCACCCCACTTCAAGAGGGATGTGGACAACATTGAGAGGGTCCAGATGAGGGCCATCCACATGATCCGGGGACAGCAGGGCAGACCCTACAATGAGAGGCTATGGGACCTGAACCTGTTCAGCCTTCACAAGAGAAGGCTGAGGGGGGACCTGGTGACCATCTATAAACTCACTAGGGGGGACCAGAAGGGTTTGGGGGAGACCTTGTTTCCCCTAGAGCCCCCCGGAATAACAAGGAATAATGGCCACCAGTTGTTGGAGAGTAGGTTTAGATTAGACATTCGTAGGAACTGCTTCACTTTAGGGTGGCTAGGATCTGGAACCAACTTCCAAGGGAAGTGGTGCTGGCTCCTACTTTGGGGGTCTTTAAGTAGAGGCTTGATACCTACCTGGCTGGGGTCATTTGAGCCCAGTTTTCCTCCTGCCCAGGCAGGGGGTCGGACTTGAAGATCTACAAGGTCCCTTCCGACCCTACTTCTATGATTCTATGATCTTTTTGGAAAACCTAGAGAAACTAAATATGAAATAACAAATAAATGGAATTTTTAGTAGAAGAACTTACTGAAGAGGAATGAGTTCTGGTATCCATCCAGTCAAGGCATGCAGAACAGTGAACTCTCCTAATTCTCTTTTTCCAGATTCATGTATGCTGTAACAAATACAAAGAATAAATACAAATTTGTCTGCTACCCTCATTAAACTCCACAGTCAGAGTTTCCCATTTGTTGTCAAATATAAGTTAGGTCAGGAATATCAAATCAGCATATTACTGTAAGACAGAAATTTTAGGTAGTCTTGAATCTACTGTTATTGATAATTTCTCAATGGACATTTCAGCTTTTTCAGCCTCATTAGCATAAGTTCGTTCCTTTTAAGTTATTCGAAGTAGATAACACACCCTAGTCAAAAATCTATTTTGCTACAAGTTATAGTTCAAGAAAGACCATGGTATTTCTTTATCCAACATCATACAAGGGGTTTGCTACAAATTCAAGTTTATCCTGATAGTTCTTGTAGCTTATAATTGCCACAGGAATTTTTAAGCATTTCATATTAAGCAATCATGGAGTTACTCCCCCCCCGCCCCTTGCAAAAAACTGCAAACAATCCTTGGAGTAGAGACCAGAACTTAAAATTCCCCAGCACAAGTACTAGGCCTTGGACACACATTCCTACAAAAACAGAGTGCTATTGGTATATGCACAAGTGCACAACCCCCTTGCTGGCATACTACAGACTCCTCAAAGTGGCACACTACCACAAGGGGCAAAGGGGTTCATCCTTCAGGCTCCTCCCAGCCTGCATGAAGCCTGTCAGAGCTGCAGTTCTGTTCCCTTTGGGCTTTCAGGGAATCACTGCTTTTCCTCCCTCCTCTTTTGCAGAGCACCATGGAAGGATGGGGATGTGGAAGACCCCTCATAGTACTATATGTAATTGTGCATGCATTACAGTAACTCTACAAAAGGAAGTGTGCCAATGGACTTCCTGTTTGAAACAAACTTTTGTGGGGACCCAGCCAGCTTTGTGGTGGTACAAATAGCCTGAATGACTACAGACTCACTTTTTGTAATGCTGTAAGGCAGAGGCAGGCAATTATTTTAGCTGGAGGGTCATTTAATGAGTTTTGGTGAGCTGTTGAGGGCCACAGGTGTAGCCCCGCCCCTTGAAAGATGCCCTACCCCCTAGTCACAATCTTGGGACTGGGTGTTTTTCCCCTAACCCTTAATCTTTGCCACCAGAATTCCCTCCCATTGCCCCCTAGAAATACTCCTTCTGAGATGGGAGGTTAGTCATCTTGAAACCAGGAGAAAAAAAAAATCAACTCATACAAAAAGTCAAACCCCTACTTTATAACATATTTTAATTTTATTACAAAAAATATTTTTGTCATGATTTGTATTTGTGTAGTATATATAGAGGTGATTGCATAATAACTCAAAAATAAAGTCTTACTCTTGTATATTGTGTGTGAGGGGTGTAGTTGGGGGTGGTGGGGTGCATATGGTGGGGTATGGGGGGATGTGTGGGGGGTT